CTGAAGTACAAGGGCATGATCCTGGCTCACTGCAACCTCTGCCTTCTGGGTTCAAGCAATTCTCCTGCCTCAGCCTCCTGAGTAGCTGGGATTACAAGCACCTGCCACCACGCCTGGCTAATTTTTGTGTTTTTGGTAGAGATGGGGTTTCACCATGTTGGCCAGGCTGGTCTCAAACTCTTGACCTCCAGTGATCCACCTGCCTCAGCCTCCCAAAGCGCTGAGATTATAGGCGTGAGCCACCGCACCTGGCCGAGTAGGATAATTTTCAAGAAAAAGGTATCGAAATGGACTCTAGAAGACACAGAAAATCTACACAAATCAATAGCACAGAATAGAGAAAGCTGTCAGAGAGCAAAATTCCCCAAAATATACAAGCTTAAACACTTTCATATGAAGTTCTACCAAATATTTAAAGAACAGATAATTCAAAAGATAAATAATCTTTTTGAAAGCAAAAATTTATGTCTTTGAAACAAGTATAACTTTGATAAGAAAATCTAACAGACCACACATACAACATCTACAGACAAATAGTACATGGATATCAATAAAACAAACCCAGGAATCCACCATTCTATTCTCTCTACTTCTGTAAATGTTTAAGGTCTAAATATCTCATGCACGACATGAAGAATATAAAATATAAAATTGGACTGTATATGGGATTCATGCTAAATGAGTAGATTTTAGCTGATCTTGCCAAAAAAATAAAAAAGGGTAACTATGTGAGATGATAGATATGTTCATTTATTTCACTGTAGTAACCTATGTATCCCATAACATCATGCTGTATACCTTAATAATACACAACAAAATTTATGTATGTATTTACCTATACATGTACATCTCCTAGGCTGGAGTGCAGTGGCACAAACACAGCTCACTGCAGCTTCAATATGGGCTCGAGCCTCCTGCCTCAGCCTCCCGAGTAGCTAGGACCCCAAGTGTGTGCCAACACCACTCCTGGCTAATTTTCTTTTTTTTTGTAGCAACAGGATCTCGCTATATTGCCCAGGCTGGTCTCAAACTCCTGGTCTCAAGCCATCCTCTGCCTTGTCCTCTCAAAGCACTAAATTAAAGGCACCTGCCTAAGTTTTTTTTAATTTCCATAATAAAAACTAAAATAAAGACATCTTCTATCTAGGTATACCATTTTTTCACCTATCAAAAGTTTGACAATAATGTGGTGAAGGCGTAGGAAAATAGGGACTCTCAGAAACTTCTAGCAAGAGGGAAAACAGACAATGTTTATGGAAAGCAATTTGACAATGTTTGTCAAAATTACAAATGCACATACCTGTTGACGTAGCAATCCCACATTTAGGAATCTGTCCTATATATACACCCGGACATGCATGAAATTACAATGCACACAATAATTCACTGGAGGGCAGGTTGTCATAGCAAAGACTGGAAACAACCTATTAACTAGCCATCAATAGGGAGAGTTGGCTAATAGATTCTGGTACATTCATATAACCAAATTCTCAGAAGCCATAAAAGAGAAAAACAAAGTTCTGTGGGTACAGATATAGAAAGCTCTCTCTCTAAGGTATTAAGCTCAAAAAACAAGGTACAGACAAAGGTATAAACTGCCATTTAAGCAAAAGGGGGGAGGCCAGTGGGCAGAAGTAGGAAGCAGGCTTTTCTGTGTCCTTTTGCACCTTCTGAATTTGGAACCATGTGACTGTAATCTTAGGCCCCAAAGAAAAAATCTCATTTTAAAAAATGCCATCCTTTGGAAAGAACTATTGCCATTATAAATTTAAAAACCATTTAGAATACTTGTTATTCTTGCTATATTTGCTAACTATGTGGCAGGCTATATTTCAAGTCAAGATGGAGTTCAAGAAACTTTCATTATTTTAAAAGGCATAGAGAAATACTGCACATAGATGAAAGGGGGCCAGTAGATCAGACAGAAGATCATCTGATGAATGGTGCCTGACCCTGGATATGCTTTGGAATGACAGAGGGCTCTCCTAAAAATACCAACACTCCACCCTCCACCCCCAGCACCCCCAGACCATTTACAACAAAAATTCGGGGTATGAGGCCCTGGCCTGAAAACCACTCATGTAAACACTTCCAAACAGTGGTTCAACAGAAGTCCAGAGGACATTTTGCTCCCCCAGGGGACATTTGTCAATGACTGGAGACATGTTTGGTTGTCACAACTTGGAGTGGGAAGTGTTCATGGCATCTAGCAGGGAGAGGCCAGGAATGCAGCTCAACTTCCCACAGTGCACAAGACAGCTCCTACCAAAATTACCTGGCCTGAAATGGCAAGAGCGCTAAGGCTCGGGAACGCCTGCTTTAAAATAAAATTGCTGCTTCTGAAGAAACAACCAGTTTCAGCCTCCACTTTTAAACGTAGGAAATAATCTCCTTCTTTACTGATGTGCCATACATTCACATTAAGAAAGCTATTTACCAAGGTTGTAGCAAACTATGTACATCCTGCATATCTCCTTTCTCTGGTCCCTGTCTAGTTACTATAGTCGAAATGTATGTCCTATTTGTAAAGTACCCATGGAGAAAGGCATAAAGTTCATAAATTAGCAGCCTGAGGCCCAACTTGATCCATCTGTGTATTTTGTTTATGCCAAAGTTCTCTTAAAATGTCCTGAATTGGTGCCAATCAGCTGCCCCTTTGGAGCTAGCCATATACCAGGAATTTGTCACAGTCCTCACCTCATGCTTATCCACTGCCTGCTACCTGGTGCTTTCAGCATCTGAGTTGGCCCTCTCCCGCAGTTTTCTCCAATTGTACAGGGACATGAAGCCTCTGCACTCCTCCTCTCTCCTCACCTTAAAAATATCCCACACCCATTCTGAATTCTCCAACTCCCACATCACTTGCCAAAATAGAACTGCTATCAAGAGACAGAACTAAGAGAAAAGTAGAAGTAGAGATGGCCTTTTTGCGACAACTTCCTTCTTTTAGTCGTCCTGTCATTAAAGATAGGCTGGTTAGCACCTGATTCATCTCTGGGTGTTACAAACTAGCTTTGTCATTTCTAGCAAATTCCACTACAATGATATCTAGCACTTCTGTGCACTTCCTTATAAGGAAAACCTTAAACTATTATGCTTCTCTCATGATCTTAGTGAATCCCTCTGCCCCTCTCAAATAGGTCAGAAGACTTTTATGGGAAATATCTTTCAAAAGATTTGGTAGTTTTCTTTTAGAAAGCTCATGCCTTTTCCTTTGAAATCACAATTGTATAGTTGTGAACTGTGCTTTTAAAGATCGCCTGATACAGTCTACACGTTTTATTAATGAGGAAAACGAGCTCCAAGTGAGGCTTGGTCACTTACTCAAGGCCACGTTCGGAATTAGTGGCAGAGCCAGGATAGAACATTTGTTTCCAGATACTGGCCTCACAGGTTTTCCATACTAACACTATCCCCCCCGTGGTTTTCCTACTCACTCAACATCCTTGCCAAGATACCTATTACCCCGGATAGACACTAGCTGCTATGGAAATTAACCAAAATTTTGGACGGCTACTGGACCTATCACTTAAAACTTTGAGAGTGGAAGGAAATAGGAGTTTCTGGATTCCTTTTTTTCCTTTTATTGTGAATTACCCTGTGTCACTTAACGCTAAAGAATGGCTGATACCTTCAGAATCTTCCCTAAGCCATAAACTAAAGATGGAAAACTTGCCTATATTTATAGCAACAGCAACATTTTCTAAAGTCAGAAACTGCCTCAAACCTCTATAATTCTCGAGATGGTAAGTAAAACTACCAATAGCTTTTGGGAGTGAAGTTTTAAGATGCAAAGATCAACATCTCATTGAACTTTGACTTTCATCATCATCCTCTGGCAAACAGGTTTCTAAAATTTTCATTTGGTCTCAACTTTAACCTATTCCTCTCTTCCTATCCTCGCTTTTTTTTAAAAAAAAAAAATTAAAGTATGGAGATCACTTTTTGCGTATCAGGTCTTCCTCAAATGTTTTATCTACTCTGCACTTTAGTTTTTATGGCCAACTGACACGATCACTGACACCTTTGACATTTACATAAAATTCATTAATAGACACCCCACTATTTCCCCTCGAGAGCTTAGAACATCTTGGCTGCTGGATTTGATTTTCCTTCAGGGATGCTGAGTTCCATTCTGATACCTCAGTGCATGCGTTTTACTTTTAAGTGTTTCACAACCAGCTCCTTCGTTTTCTGAGGAAACACGATCCAGTTAACAGAAGGTGTGGGATCTATTCCCATCTCAGCTAGGCCTGAGGCAGGCTGGGAACCGGGATCCTCTGTGGTCCCACCTCAATCCGTGAAAGCCGCCCACCAGCCCACCGGACAGGAAGAATGTGGGTGGGACACCAAGTGAGAAGAGAAATGAAAGGTGTTGGCACTGAAACCAGAGTTGTATTAGACCCTGCTGATGCTAGGAACCCACGCGTCCGCTCTTCCCAAGCATCTACAGCGTGTGCAGTCCAGGCCTCTAACTGCTTTAACATAACCTGATGAAGACAACAGTTCGAGTCCTGCCACTCTGGCCACACTGTAACACCTTAGAGCAGAAAACAAACGAAATGCCACTGCATAGTCTATTTAACCTCAAGGTATTTCTAAACAGTTCTTACCCAACCAAAAAAGAAAAATCTAAACAGAAAAACATTGAAAAGCCACCGACATCTCGTTCTGAAGTTTTAAGGGCTGTGAGGTTTGTGTCAAGCAGATTTGAAGTTAACGATGGTAGGTTTGGGGAGTCTCGCCTGCGATGAGGGACCTGCAATGAGACGCGGTTTCTGTGTCTCCGGTAAGTCCCAGGCTGGGTGTGAGGGTGCCAGGCCCTGCTCCTCCGCGCCCCGAAATCCGAGCCCCAGGAGAGCCCCCCCCCCCAGCCGCCGGATATCCCCTAGCCCTGCCTGCGATTCCCACGGGCTTTACCCCAAAGCCGCGGAGACCCAGGGTGGCAGCCCGAATGGCGGCAGCCCCGGGCCCATGGGGACCCTTGGCCCCATACTCACCGAAGTCCAGGAACTGTTTGATGGAGAGCGGCGACGGCGAAAAGCGCGAGTAGCGTTCGATCTGCTTGGGCACTGGCTGCTTCAGCAGCCACCGGAACAGCCGCATCCTCGCCGGGGCGGCTCACAGACCCGCCGAGACGCTCGGGTAGCCGCAAGGGCTGGCGCAGCCGAGCCCCACGGACCCGGTACGTTCGCTAAGCCCGTACCCCGGCCTCCGTCTCGGCCTCGGCGCCGCCGGTGCAGCCGCCGCAGCAGCAGCAGCAGCTCCCGGACCGCCACCGGCCGCCCGCCGCTCCCTAAGCTCCGCCTCGTTAGGCGGAGACGGTTGCTGCACGTACGCGGCGCGCGAGGGGCTGCGTGGAGCGCGAGGGGCACGCGGCCGAGCGCGCCCTTCACTGATTGGCTGCCACCACCTCTGTGACGTTTTTTTTTGTTGTTGCGGAGTGCGGCGGGGCGCCGGAGCCCTGCGCCCTGGCTCGTGGGGCTCAGCCCAGCCCAGCAAGTGCAGCCGCTCCCGGCTCCGCCCCTGGCAGGGTTCTCCGCTGCCTAAAAGGTAGCCGAGGTGCCCGCGGACCGGGAAGAGGCCGGGAGCCAGGAATTCGATCCTCCGCGCTGCTCAAAAGCTTTCTCAACCGCAGGCGCCTTTTCCGGGAGGAGGACTTACAGTTCCAGATGTTCGCTGCATCTTGACACTTAGATTTTACAGCCTAACTAGACTGACTGTTTTATGCCCTCCACCACTACCGCCACTTTTGGACAGAATTTAATGAAACCTCACAGGTTCTATTTTCTGACCGCTTCCTACTATTGGACAGCCTTAATTGTCATTTCACTGACTCTTATGACATGGCCCCCCAGCTCCACCCCCACCTCACTCCCGAGAGAACACCTTTGGACGGGATTGTTAGGTCCCTGGTTCTCTTGTTTCCTGGTTCCTTGCCCCTCCTTCCAGCACAAGATAAGTCACTCATTGCGTTTCATGTCCCCCCGCCACCACCGTTGGATGGGATCCATTGAGAGATCAAGGGTCACTAAGACCCCCCATACACCCCCAATGTCATTGGACAATATAACTGCAAGGTCACTGACTCTGTTTGATGCCCCCCCTAGCCCCACTACTACCATTGGAAAGGATCAAATAAGGTCACCAACACTCTCTTTCATACCTCTTCTCTACCACCACCGCCATAGGACAACTCCCTGACTGCTTCACAATTCACTACCACTTTTGGACAGGAGCCTATGCTTACACAGTGTTGGATATTCTCAAGTAAACTTCAGAGCCTGGCATGGTGGCATGCACCTATAGTCCCAATGACTCTGCAGGCGGAGGTGGGAGGATCACTTGAGCCCAGAAGTTCAAGATCTGCCTAGGCAACATACCCAGACCCCCCTCTCAAAAAAAGAATTTTTTTTTTTTCTTAGCTGGGGCATGGTGGTGCATGCCTATAATCCCAGCTACTCAGGAGACTGAGGTGGGAGGATTG